TCATAAAACAACTCAAAATTACATACTTTCACAAAACCATCACTTATCAACACAAAATTCTTTTTGTAGGACTTTTAATTACCAATACTGTAAGTAATTCAAACAGCTTGGAGACCCTCACAATGCTCCGGAAGGGTCAAAAACCCCCAGAACGAAACTAAAGAACGTCCAAAACAGGAACGCCGGAACCCCACAAACCATCAAAAACAAACACGACAACAGAAAATTTCGCCCAATGCGCCCTTTAGGGGCCGCCCCTAAGCCGAGAATTATGCCCAGATTTTCTGCATAATTGAGCCAATTCTACCCCCTTTTACCAATTCTAATCCTTTATGTGAACTTCTACAACCCATAAGTCAACTTTCATGCCCTAAAAATAACTTACCTAAACAATTCTAAGCCTTTCTAACATTATTATAAAGTGTTTATGCATTGATTTAGTTCTACACTTCAATTTTATCAACCTAGAGGTTTAAATTCAATTCTTACAACTCTGGAGTGGAGTTTAAACAATTGAAAAATTGGACAATAATAAAGTAACAACGACAGACCCCCCCCCCCCCCCTACCTAAGTTATCATAAACTATAGGATCACCAAGAATGCCCCTAACTCTAAATGTGACCACCACCTTCACTTTCTACTCTAAAACACACAATACCGAACTTAGTGAATCCCAAAACCCAATTTACCACTTTGCACCTATCTTGACCAATTAGTGACTCAAACAAGTCACAATAAAGTGCGGTGAAGTGAAACTATCCCCACAGTCCAAAAACAGACAAACATCATTGCTCAAAATCACTACCTCACTTCCTCTAAAATGCCAAAAAGTGACCCTAAGACACTTGATTTCCTTCCTATCAAACACCACAACAAATTTTCCACACCAAATCAGTTCCAACGACATAAATTATCCACTCACAAATCATCCCAAACAGTTATATCCATCACTCACCAAATTCACAAACACTCACACTTCCATCCATGCATTTCAAGGTTAGCAAAATCAAAATTATGCTTCCAACAAACATACCAATTTGTGAAAATCATCATGCCATTCACGTCATACAACTAAATCGAAAAGAAAGAACTAGCTTTCCCCCCCCTTACCTGGAAGTGAGTTGCTACAGCTGCCCTAGAATACTTTAAACAGGACCCCACACAGCGGAGAACCAAACCGGACCTAAGATCACCGCCCATTGGTGACAACCAACAACTCTTAGAGCTTTAGAATAGGGCAAGGAAGGAATGAAAAAGAAAATACACAAGGCCCGACATGCCACAGAGCAAAAATCGCAATGAAATAATTAAAGGAAAGGGAGAGAGGGGAAAAGCAGAACAAAAACACTTAAACAACTATTAGAACTCAGAAACCCGATCGGTCAAGTCGAAGCTCTCGACTCCGGGAATGCAGAATCACCACCTAAATGACAATGCATCCATCAAATTTCAAAATTTGGTAAAGAGAAGGCAGAGAAAGTTAGGGCTTGAATTTTTTAGAGAGAGAAGCTTAGAAAATTAGAATCTGCTGAGTTCTTTCCTAAAGTCAGATTGACTTAGAGAGATGGGCCAGCTGCCCCACATAGGGCCCAATGGCCCTTTTTATAAATTTACAGGCCCTTACAAAAGGTTTATTTTCGACAGTTTTAAAAAAAATTAACTAAAATTCGCCTATAACTATTTACCGAAATTGTTTTTTAAGTAATTTTTGTAATTACAAAAAATGTATATACCCAAAATTAAAATCGGTGATAATGTGAAAAATAAATCTTGGTCAAATTTAACATTTTTTTTAGTGTCATAAAAGACACTCATGTATCATTTGTTGGAAAAAATGTTTTTCATGACTTTTATAAAGTGTAGGAGTAATATATATAAATAATATATTATATTATAATAATATATATATATATAATTATACTCTTGGTTTCTTAAATTAAATTTTAGAGGAGTCAAAAGTGCATAGACAAAAAAAAAAAAACCCTAAAAGTCCATCCCTTTGAGCCCATGCTTCAGATTAATGGCTACATATAACAAGAAACTAAGGAAGCCCCCATTTCGTTGGCCCAAAGCCATTTAGTTAGACTGATAAGCCTTACCAAAGTGTTTTTATAAAAAAGAAAATTGTAAAGAAAGAAATTAAAATAATTATAATTAATATATATATATATATATATATATATATATATATTGATTATATTTTTAAATTATAATATTTTGAAACGAACGATTATCTTAAATATGCAACATTTCATAATATAACGAGGATTTGTTTTCTCTTTTATATTACTCGTTCAATATTATTTCTATTAATATTATTCTATTTGTAGTATAACTTACACGTATTAAATGTAATATAAATATTAGATATAGATAAATTTATTACATTCATACATTAATATACATATTGAATTTAACTCATTAAGTATAAAATATCCTAATGAAAAATGTGAATATATTTGATAATAGTGAATGTGTTCATATGATAATAAAAAGTAATAAAATATTATTTTTATTGTTGTCATTATTATAATTATAAAATTAAATTAAATCATTTTTATAATTTTATCGTAATATTTTTAGTTTTATAAATTAAAAAATAGTTAAATTTAAAAAAAAAAGTCAAATAAAAAAGAGTAGGATTAATTTAAATAAACAATCACTTAAAAAGTAAAACTAAAAAAATAATTATTTTAATTTAAAAAAAATCTTATTTAAAAAGTAAAATTGAAAGAGAAAATCCCTTTATACATAAGTATAGATAAATATTTACTTAGTGTATGTAGCTAGCGGAAATGTTCTTTATTTTTAATAAAAACAAGAAATACTAATTATTGTATTTCATCACAGACTAAAAATAATCGTATAATATCTTTAATATTCTTTTTTAAAAAATTTATATCCCAATCATCCCAACCTTTTCGAATTTTTCTTCCTCACAACCTTAAAATAAATCAATTTATTTACAATAATTAAAAAAAAACCATAATATACATTACTTAATTAATCTATATTTTTTCAGGAAATATGCTTAATACTACTACACTAATGAATTTTACTATGTAATTGTCATATTTAAAAGTAAGTGACAATTTCTCTCTTTTAAATCAAATTATGTTAAACATCATTATAAATTTTAACATCTCAACTATGTTATAAAAGTGCAAAATTGATAAATTATTTATCATTATATGAAAATTTATTTATTCTTTTAAAAAATACAAAACATGAAAAAACTATACATAATTCATAATAAAAATTATACGAAACATAAACAAATTATATCTATTATAAAAGAAATTAAATAAATAAAATTACAATTTTTGTCTTGAGTATTTCTAAGTTTTATTATTTATTTTCTCAAAATAACACACCAATAAAATTGTAAGTCTTTAACTTATTAAATAATCATTTATGTTTCTATTATTAATAAAAAAAATAGTTGTCATCCAACAAGTTTATTATGAAAATTTTGAATTACACTTAAAAGTCAATATATATAAAGGGTATCAATATTTTGACAACTATGTCATCCTATATAACTACTCTACAATCATGCACATGATATTATATATATAGAATTTCAAAATTTGGATACTCTTATAATAATTTAATATTTATGATTAAAATTTAGTGTTTGTCTCTATAGTCTTTGAAATGAAATTGGTAGACCTAAGAAAATCAAAGTAGGAAAATTGAAAGAATGTTATGGTTGGTATATATGACTATGAGGGTGACTTCTCCATTAACACTTGCCTCTATCCATGGAGGCTTATCATTGTTATGCATCACATCTCACTCACTATTATAGCTACTTGTAGTGAGTAGTTGACTATGATGTCACATCACCCCAGAAGTATATACATCACTTTATATATATATATATATATATATATATATATATATATATATTTATTTATAATTTTTCATAATAATTATTTTAAGGCTTAGTTAATGTTTGTCTGAGGTAATGTAATGTAAAGGAGGAAAGAAAAGCAGGTTTGAATGAAGTGATTTACAGACAGCATAAACATATTTGAAAGATTGAACTCCTCTGGATCATGGTATGAGTGAAGAGAATAGAGGAGAAACTCATATCAACATATTATTATATTTTATTAATAATGATAAGGATAAAATGATAATGTTCTAATTTTAATAATTAAAATATTTTTTTAAATTATTAAACTCATTATATCATTCACAAGAAACTGTCCTCTAAAATCTCTTTTGTTTTCCTTAATAATTCAAACAACCTCATCTTCATCCTTTCTTTCTTGCATCTTCAAGTTCAGACACACCTTCATTTAATCAATCCCACTATCACATTTCTTTCTCTTATATTCACTATATCCACTCCATCATCCTTTAGAAATAAATATAAACCTTTGTTTTTCAACAAATTTTTAATTAAAATAACAAAAATAATTCGTATTTTATAACAATCACGATATTATCTTAATTTATGAAGACAAGTAAACAAGATAAAAATTATAGCTACAACATCTAATTAAAAAGAAAAAAAAAATTAAATGTCGGGAACTCAATTAAAAATATATAAATTTTTTGAACACTTAATAGATAACAAAAAATTTAAAAGACTGATTGAAAATATTTATTTAAACGGATTAAGTACAAATAAAAGATCTTATTTTAAATACAAATAAAATATATTTTTGTTGTTGTATTGATTAACTATAGAAGTTCTTAAACTCATAGTGTATATATATAACAATTAAAATGTTAATTAATGTTTATGGAGAAAATTTGCAACAAAAAAATTATTTGTTATTTTTTTAACAAATACTTTCTTCTCTTATATATTTAAGATAAGAAACAAAAAGATGTAGACAAATATATCATTAAGACGGTTATTCACATAAGTACACATGTACCATCATATCTCATAAAAAAACACCTAGTTATAGATGTATATGATATATATTTATATATATATTAATATATATATATATATATATATATATATATGGGCTCAAACAACAAAACTTGAAACATGAAAACACACATGCATCTTCTAATAGATCTATTATATATATAATTATGATACTAACTTACTAGGGTTCCAACCGTATTTCTTTTTCTATATGGCATAACTATATGTTACATGATTAAGATAACAACACATTATTTATGGTACTTTATGCCAATACACCAACTTCCAAGATTCTCATAATATTGATTGGAGTTAAGTTAATTGGGTATGAGCTTGAAAGGAGGCTTTGAAAGAGATGGTGATGGATCATATCTTCCATAGTCTTTTGTGTTAGCCCTAAGAAGCCTCTCATGGATGCTTCTTACTTCTTCTTTATTCAGTGCCTTCCTTGGTGTTCCCTAACAAAGTGACAAACCATAGGCTGAGTGTAAAGTTCATGCACATGGAGGCTTATCAAGAAATGAAAATTTTAAAATTATACATTCTTAATCTCAATTTGATCATCACAATGGCAAAGTTGAAATAGGGAGGGGGAAGGGAGGGGTGAAAGGGCGGAGAGGATGAAAAAGACACAGGCAAGATGAGGAGGCGAAGGGGAAGTGTTCGGCGCAAGGGGGGGGGGCGACGGGAGGGGAGGGCAGAGGAAAAAGAGAGGAAGTGGGGGTGCAAGAGAGGAAAGGCAAGGGAGGGGGAAGGGGCAACAAACATAGAAAAAACAACTTATTCACTCATTATCTATATAAAAAAAAACAAGTGATATAATAAAAAATAAAAAAATTAGTTATAGAAATAACCAAACATATAATTTTATATACACATCAATTTATGATTAAATGATAATATAAAATAAGGAAAGGGTTAACAACTTTTCTCAAATATTTTATGATTGATTACAATTATTTACAAAAGAGTGAAATCATTGCATTGTGTGGTTAACCATCAAATCGATCATTTGTATAAATTTCAACTAGTAATAGAGATTGTGTTTAAACAATGTTACTAATAATTTTCTGTAAAAAAATATTATATTAGTAGTGTCTTAATTATATATGCATGTTTAATTACTCTCATTTTCCATGTTCGCTATCATCTAATACACTCCACCAACACCACACAACCACATAAGAACAAATAACAAAAGATTGAATAATAAATAAATAAGAAGAAAAAGAAGATATATAGAATTATTAACAAAGGAACATGTTTCAAAAACCGGAAGGAAGGTAACATATGGGTGGTCATGACTTCTGCACCATTTTGTAGGTACAACCACAAGGTTTTCACAGTGAGAGAAATAGACAGTGTTGTTTTGATACGTAAATAACAACATGATGTTCAAGAATATACCAATATTTATTCAGAATTTATCATATGAGTTTGAAGAAGGGTGAAGCCATATCAGAAGGTAAAACACTTGTTCTGAAAACTGATTCATACATGTGAATAACCTATTGCAGAAATGCTTAATAAAACTATAGACTGTGGTAGGAACAGAAACTGTATAAGAAAAGATATATAAACAGATTGAGATCAAAACATTGTTAGGCATGCATACCTCTTGAATTGCATTCACATCTTTCGTGAAGTTCCTGATATCCTTGGATCGTCTAGCTGCAGATGCATTAAGCACAGACCAAGGTAAAACTTCTGTTAATGTCATCAAACAATTTTAAGACCTTATAGTTTTGCATATATTACATGAATGTGTATGTGTGAATATACAGTATGTAGAATAACATATAATAATGAAAAGTTAAATTTCAATGAATAAAGGTCGGTTCACACATGCATGCACTTAGCTGCAAATGAAGTAAAATATATATAATCAAAACCCCATACTCGAACAAAACACATTATATATTAGATTAACTTTCCAGCTATCAAAATTAACCTGAACTCAACAATATCACTCTTATTTATGGCTTTAAACTTCTCATATGTTTATATACACATGTTATTATAAGTGTTTTTATTATATATATGTGTGTGTCATACATGCACTACTCAAAAAATCATTTATCTAGGCATGCATATCTCTCAACATAATGAGTGAAATATATATAAGTGTGAATGAAGAACTTATGTATAGATTCTGTCTTATACCTGATTTATTTTATACTAAAAACTGTAACCAAGACCTAAAAAGACCCACCTGCAAAAGATGGTGATAGAAATGATGCAGAGATTAGAAGAAAGAGGAGGATGAAGTTCTTGAGAAGCATGAGAGTACCCATTTGTGCAAGTTTGAATTTTTCTAGGTTTGAAGTTAAATGGTGTTTCCTGTATATTGCAAGGACAAGAAAATTTCCCCACAGAGGAAGCCTTTTGAAGGAAAAAAAACTGAAAGTTGATAGTTTAATTTTGAAAGTAAGTGTTGGCACTCTTTAGTATATAAAAATAATGAAACAGAAAAGGTGTGTGTAGACCACTTTGCTTTTGTGGGGCACTAAGTCTAAGAAGTTTAGTGGGAGGGAAACCCAATAGTAATTAGGATAAATCGTCAAATTAGACCAGTGCGAAATTATTATAATACCCCTATAAAACAAATTCAATTTTCTTACCCTACAAAAACCTTATTTTTGCCCCTCCTTTTTAACTTAATTATATTTTCAAAGCAACATGGGAAACTTCAATTTTGTATGATTGAAAAGTTTTTTTTTTTTTTTTTTATTATCCGAAAACTTTACAGCCAAATTTTCCATTTTTCTATAGCAAAACCAAAGTTTCTTCAAGACTATGTTTTTGTACCCTTTCTTTTTATATAAAGGTTTTAATAGGTGTATGTGTCGTATTGAAGAATACAACTTTCTCCACTATCTATCATTCATTCTGGATTGGAACTTTACAAACTAACTTAAAAATTGATTGAATAATAATTTCTTATTGCATAACTTAGTACAATCGTTTACACTACTAGCTAGTTATGCCATAAAAAACAACTCTTTTAAAATTATAAATAATATAAATAAAAAGATATTGAAAAATCCAAAATTTTTAAAGATTAAGAATTCTGTGTGATCTTATTATGAGTATCAACTTGTCGAGTGACAAGATTCTAATTGTGATTTGATTTTTTTTTTCTAAAAAAAGATTTTTTTTTTGCGATTGAGAGACAAGAAAAAAATTCATCTGCAAGAGTTATAATCTTTTATAAATAGATATTCATGTGAATATTTCTTAAAAAATTTATAAAATCAACATGAACCATTAATTGGAATAATATTTACTTGATCGACATAATAACATTAAAATAATAAATAACGTATTAAACTACCAATATTTAATTATAATATGTAAATATAATCCAAATAAATCTATTTTTGAAAAAAAAATTGAAAAATATACCTATTGGGTTGGATAGGAATATTATGTTTTATAAATCCAACAAAACTTTTTTGTCTTATGTAATGAATGGTTGAGAATTTACGAGGTAATTTCTTTATTTTTATTTTTATTTTTGTTCAAGCCTTATTTTTCTTTGTATAATCTTTACGAACGTATATAAGTTGAATTATTCCAAATACTTGTATATGAACAATTTTTACTTGATAATTATAATTATATATATATATATATATATATATATTGATATATTGATATATAAATGTGTTATAAATCAATAAGAATATAACAAAAATTACAAACATTTTAACATAATCTTTTTTTTACGATCGTCATGCACGTATACCTTTCATTTGTTGGTATTTTAAGAAAAATTGTAATTATAATTTTGTATCCTATTATAATTAAAATAATCAAATATACCATTTTATGTCACTTAATATTATTATCAACTAATTTATTAACTTAATTTTTCTTAACTCTAAACTCATAACATATAAACTTCAAGTAAGTTAATGGTATAATTTTTCTACGCAAATCAAACTCTATTTCTGAACAATAACATGAAGTGTATTTCAACCTTAATCACGAAATAACTTTATCTACTAAAAAAATTACCGTTCGCTTCTGTCTTTAGGAATTCTACCATGACGACTGTCTGACAAAAAAAGCATATTCTTAACCGTTAATATGATAGGCACGATCGAAATTAATAATAAAATAATTTGGTCTAGTTATTATTTTTATTAATAAAATTTAATTAAGTTTTAAGTTTTTCCTACGTATTTAATTATTTTTAATCAAGTCTTATGGATTTGTTTTATCTATTAATCATCCAGTTCATGGAAATTTATATAAAAAGGTAAAATTTCAAAAGGGGTTGAAATGGAAAGTTAGAAAAAGCATGCGCAGAAGGGTCTAAAAGAAGATGAATCCAAACAAAAAAGTGATATTAGGTTAGCATAAAATAGTATTCTAAATTGTAGTGCTTCCAATTATCCTTAACGACAAGGACAAAGCACCAAACATCAATGAAAGGACATTGGTGGAGAATAAAGATGAGCACTGTAATGTTTTAAAAACTCTTATCTTTTTCTACCTCTTTTCTTAAAGTGGTTTTAGGATGTTTATGGCTCCCCTTATTAGGTCAAGCATTATCTTCTCACAAAGATTCTTCTCCACCTCTTTTACACATTAATAATTGGTCAACTCACAACAATGTCACAACATCTCACATACATAACTCTATCATTTAACAACCCTACTAAAAGTTACAAGAAAAATTAACTAGTTATAACAACTTAATATTAAAAAAAAATTATCATTTATTGCACTTTTGTCATCGTGTCCCATTCTATACAGATTTTGGTAATCGGTATAAAAAAAACTTATCTTATTCATAATATTGTCACAGTATCATTTTCTATACTTGATGAATTTCAGTCGGTATAAAATATAAGTCTTTAGTATTTTTTTACTATATACTTAATTTAATCAATGAATCAAAACATGTCATTTCAAATAATATATACGGTGGGGAATAATTTAAAATTTAATTAAAATATAGTGTTTTTTTGTAAGGTGAATGATTTTATATATGAAAAGATAAAATCTTATACAAGTGGTGTTAAGGATTAGGGATGATAAAAGAACATGTTTTCAGCATTTGTCAAGATTAGGGACCCAACACGTGGACCCTTTAGACAATAGCCTCAAAATTCCAAGCCACTTGAATAGCCATTAGGTCATTAGTCACCTATATGACAGATTTTTAGAAGGATATAGTTTATCTAAAAAGACGTGTTTAATTTAATAGTGTATCGTGATTCAAAATTTAAATTTTAAAATTTAATTAGGATTAATTACATTAAATAATAATGTTCAAAATTAATATTTTTTATAAAAATTAAACTTTAAAGTACCTTAGATAGTGTACACGTTTATTCTCTTTTTTTTTATCCAACTTTCATATATGTAATTCTTGTTATAAATAAGTCTTTGATTTAGAAATATGTAAATCTATATGACTGATTAAAATAAATTATAATACAATATTGAACTAATATAACGCAATTCTCACCATAACAATTATATGAACTTATCAAGATCATAATTATTTCTTAATTTTTTATTAATGAAATGAATTTAAACTTTAAACGCATTCATTGTAAATATTTTTATTTTTCTAGCAATAAAAAATTACTGAATATAAAAAATATTTAAGATATTTCAATCTTTTTACAAAATTAAAAAAAGAAAAGTTTGGATTAGTGATATAAACCCCCTTTTGTAATATATTATTAAACATCTAGTCTTAGCCTGGGTATAAGAAAAATATTTTATTATTTTTGATAAAGATTTANATGATAAAAGAACATGTTTTCAGCATTTGTCAAGATTAGGGACCCAACACGTGGACCCTTTAGACAATAGCCTCAAAATTCCAAGCCACTTGAATAGCCATTAGGTCATTAGTCACCTATATGACAGATTTTTAGAAGGATATAGTTTATCTAAAAAGACGTGTTTAATTTAATAGTGTATCGTGATTCAAAATTTAAATTTTAAAATTTAATTAGGATTAATTACATTAAATAATAATGTTCAAAATTAATATTTTTTATAAAAATTAAACTTTAAAGTACCTTAGATAGTGTACACGTTTATTCTCTTTTTTTTTATCCAACTTTCATATATGTAATTCTTGTTATAAATAAGTCTTTGATTTAGAAATATGTAAATCTATATGACTGATTAAAATAAATTATAATACAATATTGAACTAATATAACGCAATTCTCACCATAACAATTATATGAACTTATCAAGATCATAATTATTTCTTAATTTTTTATTAATGAAATGAATTTAAACTTTAAACGCATTCATTGTAAATATTTTTATTTTTCTAGCAATAAAAAATTACTGAATATAAAAAATATTTAAGATATTTCAATCTTTTTACAAAATTAAAAAAAGAAAAGTTTGGATTAGTGATATAAACCCCCTTTTGTAATATATTATTAAACATCTAGTCTTAGCCTGGGTATAAGAAAAATATTTTATTATTTTTGATAAAGATTTAAGAGATAGAATGTTTTTCTGATATAACGGTGAGTGTTATAATGTTTTCAGACATCTTAATCATCATACATATGAGATATTGTTTACTTTGAAATCTTATACACCATGATTTTGTATTTAAAAGACATCTTTAAAAAAAAAATTTAAACTATGATTAATTTGAACTCTTAAGTGATATTAATGATTGAGTGTGATAATAATAATTATAAATACATAAATCGTTTAACATAAAAAATCATTACAAACATAAATTTTAAAACAATAATATAAAATCATAATATACATATATGATATATATTTTTCTTTTATCGTATTAATACATTCTAATTGACTTTTTCTTTATCATTTTTTGTTGAAAGCAATATTGTTTTTTTTTCCTTTCTCTCACATACTTTATTAGCTGTCCAGATTATCCTTTTTCTTAAGCAAACTGGCCTAATAATCTTTTTGCATGCATGCTTTGTTTAATTGATTAGGTTTAATTAGGATAATACGTGGATTGCTTTGTGATTTGAGTACTCATGATCATTATAAGCCATCCATTTAAAATAGTAAAAGCTTGATCTTATAAATCAAATCCTCATCAAGTGCATCATTTACTACACCATCTACTTAATAGCAAATAAAATTTCGACATTGATCTCATTCAATAATGTTCTAGATATCGTTAGAAGTGCACTTTGGCATCACTAAATAGATATCCTTTGTAGCACCTACCCTTCTTCAAATTAAAATTAGGTTTTGCGTAATCAATCCTTAAAAGAGATTTGTAAAATAAAATATTTTAGTGGTTTACATATTGATATTATTTATCCTATAATTAACTTTTAACATGTTGATAATTTTTTTAATAAAAAAAAATTAACTTTATTGTATACATAAGTAAACATATGCGATGTTGATATTATTTTTATAACACCTTTTTTTTAAAAAAAATATGATTATTAATTTAATTATATTTTAATAAATTACGGAATATTCTTTTTTTTTTGTACGAGTATTTCCTATACTCTATTAACAAAGAGTATTAAAGGAATATACACGAACTAAGCATTGTAAGTAAATAGAAAGGAATAACATTTGATTAAATATACAAAGGTTCGATGTAGATTGTTTTAAGGGATGAAAAAGTAAAAGTGAAAGAGATTTGAAAGAAAAATTTATAAAAGTTTGTGAATGATTTGATGTGTGTGATAAATAAAAAAATATTTTAATAAATTAAAATATAAGATTACAATTTTACTTTTGTAGTTAAAATTAATGTAATATAAAATTTAATTAATTATACTTAATTTAAAATAAAATTTGAATAATTAATTTTTAAATAAAAAATTAATCGGGATAGTTCTTCTCCTTCTCTTCTTCATCTAAATATTATTATGAAAAGTACAAACAAGAAAATGTCATTTTTGTAAATGTACTAGTTTGGAATAACAAAAAAATTTATATTCTTTTATATTTATGATAAAATTCGTGATAAATACTAAATAGATATCTGTAGATAAATGATTATGACTATTTAATTATCCATTTATTAATGAAGTAAGTATGAATATTATGTTGGTGATAAATACTAAATAGATACCTGTAGATAAATAATTATGACTATTTAATTATCCATTTACTAATGAAGTAAGTATGAAATATTATGGTATTTGATGTACGAATATCCATGATTTGTTTATAATTTTTCTTGAATAATAATTATTAGTAAGTCTTATTTTATTATTTTCTTAAAAATCAAGTCATAAAAGTAAAGTTACAAGTGAAAAAAATAATAATCATTGAAGAACTGTATAAAATTTAACTTCATAGATTTCTAATTTTTATTTAGGACTATAAAATGAAAGTTTATTTTTTAAAAAGATAATTTTTTTAAATTTATTCTTTTATCTAAAAATGAACACACATGTCAATCTCTCATTTATCCTCATCTCTAAAAGTAAATAACAAATTAAAAAATAATACAAGTTGGATACATACAAGTGATGATGAAAGAAAGGTTGAGATACAAAACATCATGAGTCTTTTCTTTGATTCAAAAGTTGGAGTACTCTAAATACTTTCATATCTTATATTATTCATGGTCATAAAAGAATAAACTAAGATAAAAATATGCACACATCTCTCCCAGTATAATATATATATATATATATATATATATATATATATATATATATATATATATATATATATATATATATATATATATTCCATTGATATTTAATGGAAACAGGTTTATTACGAAAACAGTGTAAGTAGTGGAAGATATAGAAAATAAAACAGTAAATTATTAATCATTTCAAGAACACCGAGACATCCATATCTATGTCTATCTATCTTTCAATTGGTATGATAAAATCGTTGAGATGACTATTATGAATGGATTTGAATAATTTAGTCATTCATTTATTTATTTAAATTGATATTTCCATTAATATATAAAAATAAAAACAAATATCATGTAAATATATGAAAAAAAATATATATATATATATATATATATATATTAAATAACATAATGAATAAAAATAATTATAAAATAAAGAAATAAGTAAGAAAGATGATGAGCTTAGATACATCTAATTTTGTAGAATCACTTATAGACATTAGTACAATAAATAGAAACGACAACGATTATTTTTGACTATCGAGACAATATGTCCTGCTAGAAGCTGACAACTCCTGCATCTTAACGTTCCAAATTCATTTTATCAACCTTTACTACCTCAGTTCTTCATAGAACCTAAACAATATGTCCTAATTCTCAAAAGATGTCAGGTAAAAGTCTGATTTATAGAGGGGAAACAAAGTTTTCTGTTTCGGTTGATCAAAAAACCAGGACAATAAACCTAACTCAAAAAAGCTATCAGGTGAAAAGTTTGATTTAAAGAGGAAAAACAAGATTTTCTATCTCAATTGCTCACTAAATTGACACAATATACCCTTTATCGGTTCCCACCGAACCAAAACATATAATTTCGAAAAAACCACAAAATTGTCATCGCGTTTTGATACGTTTCGATTTTTTCTGAAATTGAAGCGCAATATGCGAATTAAAAAACTCTTTTTTTACTAGTGAGAATAAATAAAAGAAATAGATAAAATAAAAAAAATGTTTATTTACTTACATTGATCTTAGTATTTCACTAAAATTAAGACTTGTAAAATGTTATATAATATCTCTGCTTCTCCATTTTTTTTGCCCTATGTATCTCTTTCTTGCTTTTATTTTTCACTTCAACTCTTTTATTTTTCACCTATGTATATAGTCAGATAATTTTGTTTAATTGCTTAATCATGCTTCCTTATCTCTTTTACAAAAAGATATAAAACTTAGATATATTTTTTTAGGTTTTGTATATCAAAGAAATATTTACTTAATGTTGTTTACGAATATTTATATAATAAAATATTTAAACTATTTAATAATAATGTAATATAAAATATTATATTATAAATTTGGTCTAAACAATATTTGAAATACAATTCTATATGTTTTTCACATTTATAACGTGGAATTAAAACAAAAACAATTAAAGATTTAAACAAGTTCCATTTTATTTGATATTGTTATAGTATATTCAATGGTTTAGAGACCAAGAACAATTTAAATAAATTTTTCTCTTTCAATCCTCATAGACATATTTTAAAAATAAAACAATTATAGGAGCTTTAGATTATAACGTGGACAATATTTTAAATGCAATAATAAGTCCTAGTGATGCTATTTCAATAAACTTGGGAATGAAATATTGGTGTTGTATTTTGAATCCTAATTTTCCTTAAATTTGGACTGAAATTTGTTTAAATACTCAATAGCTCTACGTTATTTAAAAGTTAAAATTAAAAACAATTAGATATTTTTTCATTAAACTTAAAGACGAAACAAATATAGATAATGAACCAATTAAACTAAACTAAAAAAAATTATTTATCATTATTTTCAAAGTTTAACTTAGTTTGAATCATAAATAAGATAGATCGATCCATTAATATTACTTGATTTAAAAATTCCTTCTATTATTAATCTAAATGTAAACTCTTAAGCTAATCTAAAACTTCAAAATCAAACTTTATCTCATTTTATATTCTGTATTTTACTAGTACATAGTCTCTAATCGATTGAAAATTTGAATTTTTTTTCCCTTTAGAATCTTTTTGAGTTATCCTCTCTAATGGTGTCAATGATTTTATCCAATGGGTTAGTAACCAAGTAGTGGAGTGATTTTCATTACCATTCATCAAGCATGACTCAACTTGTTTGCTTTAAATGTCTATTTTTTTTATACATATATCTTGTGGTGTCGTCTTGTTAATCATTTTTAACAGTAAACCTTTTATTGCCCTAAAAAAGGATGGTACTCAGAGAAATTCAATCTTGACACGCAAAAGTATTTTGCACTTTGGATCGATACAATATGTGTAACATTCATTGGTTTAGCATTTTTTAAATGTTTTATTTTTTTAAAAACAAATCCACTTCATTACCATTTTGTCTTATAAACTTTATCTCTTTGACACATTGAATGTTGTTCTACATTTTTTTATCATCCAAATCCATTTTATTTTAAGTATAATATTATTTAAAAAATTAATTTACATATTTGACATGAAAATAAACAAAGAAATAAAATAGATATTTCATAAGTATTTTATCAAGATAGAAAAAATTATTGTTTTCATTTTTGTAATTTAGAGGCCAAATAAAAAGTAATGGAAGGTTTGATAAATACAAGGCTTAATACCATGTTCCTTAGTTTCTTTAAGTGTGTTCAGAGTGATTCTACCTTTTTCTATATGTTCACAGTTGTCCCATAGTATGTAACAGGGATTGGTGGTCATTTTTGCTTACGGCATTAAAAATACTAACAGCGTAATAATATGACAACTGTAACCTATCCAATTTTTTATTACGTAACAATTATGACCCAATTGATGTGACAATGTTAATGTAAAATAAAAGAAAAATACCCAGAAACCAAGGAGCAACACCAACACTAACCATCGCGCCGTTGTGGTGCAATTGAAGACATAGTCGATACCGCTTTTGACGTATCCCATATGAAGACTCATCTCAATAAAACTTAATAAAAAAACTGATTAACATATAATATTAAAAGTGAAACTCCAAAACCTCTAATTAGAGAATCATTAAAAAAAAGTTGCACATAGTTGTATATGCAAGTTTTGTTATATTGTTTAATGTAAACCAACAATTAATATGATACAGAAAACACTTAAAAAACTTCAACAAATAGTTTAGGATTTCCACATACAACATTTAATGTTTAAATGTGGGGTGAAAGCTTTTGGTTTCATTTATTATAGCCAACTTTATATAAGACTGTGATCATAAGAGATGATTCAAAACTTCAGAGAAAAATAAGTTGATTTAAATTAAACTCAAGGTAACATGATAAGAATGGACTGAAATCAATAATCACTAGAAGATAATTATTAAATACAAGTGTGTAATTATGGCAGGTTAGTCCAATCCATGAGTTCAAGCAATATTACATAGCATGACTATCAACAGCAATGAAGCACTGCATCAAACAGTGTTCAAAATCCAGAGAACCAGAAGGCCACAAGAATAGTAGAATACTACTCAGCACATAACCATATCAAACAAACTGAACAAGATGACTACGACGAGGAGGAAGGAGCATCTACTACTTTGCCATTTTCTTTGCGTAGGCTGTTTTCTCTGCTATAAGGAGCCTTAACACCCTGAGAAGCAAAATGGAACATTATTCTTAATTACATATAAATAAAATGGTAAAATATGTTTTGGTCCCTTAAAATATCTTGAAATTGGGTTTTGGTAAAATATGTGGTAAAATATGTTTAGTTCCTAGATTTACCAAAAGTGATGTGATTTTAGCTTCTGATTACAACAACAAAGCCTTGTCCTACTTAATAGGTACATTATCACATGACATCATTTGACATGATTAAAAACCAGTCATTTTTGTAATCTCTCTCAATGATATCCTCCTCCTACTTCATTTTTGTTCTCCTCATTTGTTCATAGAACTATAAGTCATGAAATCTACTCTTATAACAGGTCCTCTTATGGTCTTGTTTGTACGTGTTCAAAACCACCTTAACCAGTTTTCTGTCATCTATCCCTCAAAAATGCCAAACCAATCTCTTTATCAGATAGTCATTCCATATTATGTACTTTCTTATATGACTATATACATTCATCTCAACATTCTCATTTATGCTATATGCTCATATTGTCCATTTAACTCTAGGGATGTCAAACTTGTCCCGCAATTGGACAGGTTGGGGGGTTGGCCAGCTAGTTTTGAAGAAACTACACAAACAAACCCTAATCCAAAAAAAGGCAAAATCAGGGGAATCAAGGTAAATCACGGCATAATCAAGGAACCGTTGTCGTGGGAACCATCGTTGTGGGGATTGCCAAAGATGAGAAGATGAGATGAGGTCATTGGATGACAGCTCCACAATGCAGCGGCAAGGGCACAAGCCCCAGTGGCGGCAGGATCACCACTAGAGGCAGAAGATGCATGAGCTCCGACATCAGAGGCCTCCAAGGGCGATATGGAGGCGACTCTGTCTAGTGAGTGTGGCGGTTAAAGGCGACCAGCAAGCTGAGGCAAAGGACGTTCCAAGGGCACAGTTGAAGGTTGTGTTGAAACCCCAATTGTTGACACCGCCATTGGACAAAGATGCTCGTCGAAAATGGAAGATGGAGGTGCAGAGCTAGTGGTGGTGCATGGTGATCTCACGTGGTGGGGTTGGTTCACGGTGTGTTTATGTGGTGGTCATGTCACATTGTGTGGCTTGTTGATATGTTTCTACTTTTAATTACAAACCCTAACCTAGTCTAACAAGTAATGCTGTCAAAACAGGTAACCCGGTTCGGCTCACCACGGGTTGGTCATTAAGTGAGTCAACTCAACCCTGTTCACTTATTAGTGAGCCGAAAAAATTTTAACCCGGCCCGGCTCACTATGGGTTGGTGGGTTAAACGGGCGGGCTCATTGGCTCACTTAATTATAATTTTTTTTTTCAAATCCAAAAAAAAAGTTACAATTTTTTGTAATTGAAATCTAAATAAATTTCATTCTAAGATGATGTTAAACTCCAAAGAGAATCAAATGTAATCCAAAAGCAAGCACAAAAAACGAACAAATAAGTTTCTAATATTGATTATTTTTTTGTCACTTATCCATTTATAAGATTAGAATCTTGAATGGATAAATCTAAAATATTTTGCTCTCTTGAAACATCTTTTTCTTTATCCCATCTACAAATACAAAGTAATAAATAATTAAATTAAATTAGGTGGGTTGGTAAACCAACCTGGCTCACTACGGGTTCAACCTGGGTGAGCTGGATTCTAAGTAAGCCGAGTTGAAAATTGACTCATATAAAAAAGTTACAGTTTTATCAAATCCCAACCCAGCCCGAACCCATGATGGGCCGGGTTAGCCCATGGGTTTTAACCCATTTTGACAACATTACCAACAAGCATATTTGTGTGAGTAGTGCAACATGCCTTTCTTTGGATAAACAAGCTGCAGGCTAGCCCGCGGCAGGTTGTGCAAGTCGGGCTACTTCGGGTTGGCGGGTTGAAATTTCTAATCCGGCCAGCCTATTTTATGTTGGGTTGGAGAGCTGACTCGTCAAGTTTAGCCCACTTTGACATCCCTATTTAAATCTCACCAAACATTCACCACCACATAGTGCCGCAGAACAACATTCACTATCACATAGTGCCGCAGAACAACATTCACTATCACATAGTGCAGCTGAATGTGTAGTATACAATAAAAGATGCCTGAGTTTGATAGGTACCTTGCCATCACAAATAACCCCCGATGCCTCTACCCCTTCAGCATTCCGCTTGTTTCCTGTATGTGACATCTCATTAATTTCTCCATCATTTTAGCTCCTTATTAAATTTATTAGAGTTTTAAAACGACTACACTAAATTTCGAGATATTTAGAGGGACTAAACAAATGTCACAATTGGTTATTGAAATTGTTGTCAATTTCATGCTAGCATATGACAGAACTATGCAGTCATATTAGCTGTTGATGCATTAAAATATGAAATCAAGCACTTACTTGAAAGATGCTTCCTAACTTTTTCAATGCTTTGGCCCGAGCCTTCAGAACATCTTTGGAGGCACTAGGATCTTTAAGAACCTGAGAAAAAAAGAAACCGTTTTCTTAAAATTTGTCATTAATTGACATTTCAATATATATGATATGCTTATTCAACATTTCATAGAACGCATTTCAGTTCAATACCGAAGTAAATACTTTAGGAGCATGGTCCACCAATTGCTTTCCAATGTAAAAGTTGGGCTTAATTATATTTTTGACCCTTTTTGTGCAGTTTTTGTCCCTCCCTCGATAATTTATTTAGTCAAAATTAGTTATTTTACTATCATATACTTCCATCACTTTTTCTTCTCATAAAACTCTCATAATGATTAGATGCTTGAGATGAATTTGAGACAGAAAATGATTTAAAAGGTTTAGAAGTTGAATGTGATGAAGTTTGTAAGAATTCATAGAATGCGCACTTAACGTTTTAAATAGGGGGAAAATCAAAACTTTTTAATGTTAGAGGAAACATAATGTTTTGATCGTTGGATATAAGCAGAAGGGTATTTAAAATAGTTTAATAGGTTTAGTTTATGGAGATCTTTAGGGGGCTAAAAAAGAAAGTTCAATAGTTTCAGGTAGGAAAGACGTACCAGAAGGGTTTGATTGTAGCCATTGAAAAAAATAAGAATTTGATTGTTACAATTAAAAAACTAAGCGATTAAATTGAAGCAAAAAGCTATAGGGGGACACAAGAATTGCACACAGGCCATAATATAGAGGCAAAATGTACAATGTTCTGCACTGTGATCTCAGTTGTTTCAAGAATGGAAGATTAAAAAAACTGAGTAACATAAGAAAAAAAGTGAAATTTCTTCCTACAAGGTCAAAAACTGCAAACTAATAAATGTCATGCACAGCAGGTACGTAGGAGGAAAGACTATTATCTGTGAGTTATCAGCCAAGAGTGTTTTATTTTCAGACTACAGAGAGTATATACTGCAACTTACTGCTTGGCAAACATGTGACAGAGTTGATTCAATATCAATCACATTGATCTGCCATAGAGAATTAACCATGGCATCCTTCTTATCTTCAATAGCTTTGATTATGCTTTCTTCCTTGTTTTCTCCTTGGTTTAGTTTCTTGAGCTCTTCTTGTATTTGAATTAGGGACACAGCTCCTACAAAAACAGTTAAGTTGCCTTAAACCCTTCCAATGCCCATATCCTTTCAACCGATACACTAGAACTGTGCAAAGGCCAAAAACCCTTTTGGTCCCATCTTATTTTTTTAGGTTTTGTTCTCTAAGTTTAAAATGATTGAATTTAGTCCTTACATAAACTTATCACACTAATTTGGTCATACTGGAAACTATTACATGAAGTAAGCATTTACCACATCTGCCAAAGTGGATACGTAGTGTGATTAATTGATGTAAGTACCAATTTAATTAAACAAAGAAATTTAAGGAGTTAAAATAAAACCTTTTAAACTTATGAGACTAAACTAAAACTAAAAAACAAAAAAAATGAGATGAGGGACTAAAAGGGCCTTTTATCACTACCCAGTATAAAAACAAAATAGTCCACAACCTGAAGCTGCTGTTACTTGTGACTTAATACGGTGTCCTTTATCTCGAACCCACTCAGCCAAAAAGGGAACATTCATGTACCGTAAATCCTTGCCAAGTTCTCTTGCAGATTTTCGTGTGTAGATGTAACCAATTGTATGTAGCATGGCCTCACCAAAAGCTAAAAATAATGCCAGAAATGAGTTATGAAAATTGCAAGTGAAAAACAGAACCAAGAATGGTCAATCATATGATAGTTGTCCCACATGAATTTACAACCATGTGTCATCCTTTTAATGTGCAGCATGCTGCCATTTTCATCATTTGACCCAAAGGTTGCTATTAGATTAAAACTGATAAGAAATAATAACATATGAAATTCATGCGTTTAAGTACATCGCAGAGGATCTACAATATACACAAATGGATGTCCTTTTGTAGAATTTTCAAGTGTCGCGTGAAAAACGTTTCAGCAGAATTGTTACAGACTACACTTCTCTTCTAATCCTGTATTTTAATCAAGTTAGTATAATACTATGAGGCTGAACAACTTATAATGATGGTAAGTCAGGAAAAAGTTAAATCCATTTCTTGGAGAATATGAAATCATAAAAATGTAACAAGGTACTGCAAGAGTAACACCCGAACACTTAAGGTTCAATCTGAATTTTATAATAATTTCAAAGTTAATCAACAACATGCAAGGTTATGTTGTCGACAAATTAAGGCTTTTAGTGCATTGAGTTCAGTAGTCTAAGAGTACATAAGCATCTTGCCACAATGGGATTTCACACTCCATTTAAGATTCTGTTGGATGATGCCTATATTATATATCTTTTCAGGATAACAAGCATAGAACCATTCAATCAATGGCATAATAATAGTGGGATAGATTCATCATTCGAACACCTGATATATTACTTAAGCTCAAGCACAAATGTGGCACAACTAGTACAAGCTCGGCACAACTTAAAAACATTCTAGCATAGTGAGAATCCTAATAATTCAACAACAGAAATCCAGGACAACAGACCTGATTTGCTAGCATTATAGGCTTACAAATTAGGCATTATTTGGACATCTTTCACTAAGAAATAATGTAATTTATATAGCATGTGGAAGCATTTTTGAAGATTATAAACTACACCAGAATGAATGTGTTTTAGTTTCTTTGAATATTGACAATTATATTTCAAAACTGAAAAAAAAAACATAATATTTGTACCTCGAAAACAAATTTCTGTGAAATAAAACTAAAAACTTCTATTACATCAATAGATCATTACAATTTATTTGCAACCCTTGTATATTAAAACCTCAAAATAGAGCTGAAGAAAGGTCTGAATTGAAGGACAAGTCTAGAATGCATGTAGCATATATCATAAATTGACACTCTTGAAAATGAAAATGTTTAAGTCATTGAAACTTCTAAGTTCTGGACTACTATTTAATAATACATTATTAAAATTACATGATAAAAAGAAGGATTTTACCGGCTTTAGAAAGGGTACGAGCTTCTGACTTTGCCCATGCAGTAAATTCCTCTTCTTGACCAACAACCGATAGTTGCAGCCGGTCTATCAGAATTGCTGAAAGCTTCTGCTCTCTTTCCTTCTGCCATGCCTACGGATACAAACAAGGAAAACAGTTTCAGCTACTAAATTATGAGAGGGAACAGTACAAAGGATTTGGGAAAACCATCATAAAGAACTAGAAAAGAAGAAAGAGAATACTTTCATCTTTTCTTGAATTTTTTGCCTCTGAGCTTCAGGGTCCTGTATGTCTTCATCAATTTCTATAGATGCTAAAGAAGCCAGTGCAAGTTTCCCAATATATTCTTCAAAAACTTCACTTCCGAAAATCATTCCAAATACAGCGGTAGGGTCCATCATGTTATCTCTGAAAAAAAAAAAATCAGTGTATTTTGCAGGTTTCTCAATCCATGAAAGCATTCTGTTAATTTAGATTCATCTTGAAACGTCTTAAATAATGATTTTAGCATATATTCATAAATAAACAAGCCTTAATTTGGTTGATAGATTAATACTAATTTTAGGAGTTATGTTATATATTAATTTTAGGACTTTATTTTACTGTTTAGTATTCTTATAAATTAGCTAGAACTGTTTGTCTTTCTTTCCCTTTTAGATAATATAGAACCGATCTGGATTTTATGGTATCACATTTCGGTCTTGAAATCGAGAGATGGAGATATTGTAATCTTAAATAATTGTCATTCCAGTGCAATACAAAGCAGAGAAGTTCGTTCTCTTATCCCTCAGATAAAACAATATTAGGTCTCCACCATAATTTTGAAGCCCCAACATAGTGGCAAATACTCACAGAACTAGCACACTTGATCAAATTATAGATTCTCTATAGGCAACAGCTCTGCTCTGTAGCTCTCATTCGTACTATTTGATTAAGATATTTTTCAAGACCTTTCTCAGTAACATTTGACTATATGGTATTTTGAACAAATACAACAAAATATCTTCATTGAGTTTCACTAAGTTTGGTTAGAACTTCTTTCTAACTCACAACAATAAGAAATATAACCTATGAGGTTGGCAACAATGACAAATACTAATAGTAACATAAACACCAGGTTAGGCACCTTTCTATGCTCAATCAAGCAGGAATGAGATATTAGAGGACACAAAAGGTAGGTTTGTGAATATTAGAGAGTGAAATTCTGATAAGTTGAGTGGAGTAGACAAGGAAGGGAGTTAAAGGGGTACAAAATGATGTAATTTTTGTTGGAGATCCCACGTCAACCAGAGATAAGACTAATTTACTGTATATAAGGATGCAAATCTCATCTTACAAACTTTTTTTGTAGGATTGAGTGAGACTTAAAGTATACTTTTCAATATGGTGTCAAAGCAAAAGGTTTCATTGTGGCTCATGTAGATTGTTGGATGTGAGTCTAAGTCTCACATTGTGTAGAAATGAGAAAATTGAGCAACATACAAGGAAGACCTACAAATACACTACCTTAAGGTTTTGGGTTGGAGGTGATGTCAATCCCTTATGTATGTTTGGCTCATGTCTCATTGATATTGTGTCTCCCTGATGAATTCCTTTGAAAGACCCATCATGGTATCAAAGTCATTTAGAGTCTATCCTAACAAGATTTGTTATTGGCTAGGTCTATCATTCCATCCACTATCGGGCCACCATCCATGAATACCTAGTCTCATACTCCAGATGTACATGTCTCGACATGAAGAGATGTGTCAAAAATCCAATATCAACTAGAGATAAGGCTAATTTATGATATATAAATAGATATAAACCTCGTCTTTCAAGTCAGCTCTCTAAGTGCCTATAGTGTGTATCTTTTTCACTTGTTATTTCTTTTACTTCATTTCACAAGTAACTCTAAATCATATTGTAGACTTGAATCACATTAATATTTAAGAAGATTTAACAACAAGCACATAGAGTATATTTAGTTACATATTTTGATTCCAGGTTTAAATCTGACAACAACTAGATATAGTACCAAGAAAAGGAAAATTCAATGAGAGATTAAAATGTTATTCCAGAAACTGTTTTTTGATAATAACCTACACGAGTTATCTTTGAATTGCAAAATCAACACTTGACTACTTGATGTAGAATGAATTCATTGCAAGCAATTATTAACTAATTACTGTTCATTCATGGAGGACAATATAGACTTACTGTACTACTCCCTCCTTTCCATTTTTATCATATGCTTCACGCTTCCCGGGGTCACTTAAAACCTGGTAAGCCTCACCAAGTTTCTGGTAAATATACAAAGATACCTGACTTAGAAAGTTTATGGAGAAAAATAAAGCAAACTGGATAGAGGGAGAGATCCAAATGTACATATACTTTTATATTTTGTGCTGTGAAACGTATGACAGTAAGAACTAAGAAGGATGTAAATAACTTTGTTAATGACATCTACTAAATATATCTTCAGACAAAACAAGGCTTCTTACTTACCTGAAAATTTTCTGCGGCCTGAGGATCCCCTGGATTCTTATCAGGGTGAACAATTCTTGCCTAAAACGGGAAGAGAGAAAGAGATTAACAGTTATTAAAGAGACAAAAAAGGAGGAACTGCCAAGTTTAAGATTCAGTCAGAAAACAATATAAAAAAACTAAAACATCAGCATGAATGTGGTTTTTTAAACATTTAATCTAAACCTAACTAGAAGAGAGACATCATTTCTTCTACTCTATCCCAAAATTTTGTCACAAATTAAGTGTTGCATGGTGAGCACATTTGAAATAAACAGCCATTGAAGGCAGAACAAGATCAATAAACAGCTTCCAGAGTTCAATCTTTGGGCTTATTGAACTCCAACTCTCACAAACAAATGAATCTGTTTCTATTGTCTGAACACTTTTCAATTTTGACAAAAAATCCCCGTGTTAATTTAATTCGGGTATGTATATAAGTAATATCTAATTCTTTAAATTGGATATGAGGATATATGTGTATATATATATATATATATATATATATATATATATATATATATATGTATGCCATATCCTCTTGCCATCCCCAGTTATCTGACGCGTGTAGCACTAGTCTCAGAATTGATAAAAAATTAAACAATTAAACCATCAATCCGTGAAGCATCATCCTCTCTGCTAAATTGCCCTTAAACTATTGAAAGTATGGATGTAGCCACTAAAGTATCACAAATCATGCTACATAGTCCCTGAAGTGTCGAAAATTTCTTTAAACTAGTTCCTCAATTTCAGTAAAATATATCAAATATTGATCGATATTCAATACTCTATAGAGACTACTTATATAATTTCATTAGTGTAAGGATCATTTAGAAGAGGGGGTGATACTTCTAAAACAAAATTGATGGTTTATTCAAATTTAAACAGCAAAAAAACCGAAACAATATTTATGTAACTACCAAGTCGATTCCATAACTCAACCACATAGTATAATCAAATTCAACATTCCATCAGATCAGGTAACAATATAGAAACATTCTAAAATCCCCTTTTCTGGTTGCACAAATCAGAAAAAGTGAAGGTCATAAATTTCATTATTTATTACCTTGACATAATAAGCCTTCTTGATATCTGCAGCAGATGCATCAACGTTCACACCTAATATGTCATAGTACGCAGTGTCCTTCACCATTGCTTGTGACTTTCAAATAACAATTAACGCATCTAAGAAAATTAAGCAAATTGAAGAATTCCCAAAAACAAAACTAGTTAGCTGCATGATTTCAATAGAAAGCACATGAACAATACGAAAGAAAACAGAAGAAAAAAAAATCGTGAAAGAGTATTCTGACACAGATTTTAGAACATACCCAGAAAGCAAAAATGGAAGAAGTTTCGAGCTTGAAAGAGAGAGAGAGGGGGGTAACAATCAGAAGAAACCTCACATTTCAGGTGGATCTCTGGCAGAAGAAACGGTGACGTTTTCAATGGACCACGTAGTTGAAGATATTTTTATTTTATTTTTTCACGTGACATGTGGATTCTTAATATTAAATTATAATAATTGAAGCTTTAAAAACATTAAATACAAAAGAATGGAAGAAGTTTTAAAAAATTGGATCGTACACACGGTAAAATTTATGATTTTATTTTTTTCCTTATTTTAGTTCTTATATTTATAAAAACCTTATTTGACTTAATTTTATACATGTATTTTTTTATTTTAGTCTAATTAAATCCGGCATTTAACCTATTCATTTAAGAACTCGAAAAAATATTAGAATGACAGAAAAATAAAAAAAAAAATCAAAATCAAAATCACAAATAAGAAACGCAGTTTAGTGAAGAATAAATTCCGTAACCTAAAGACTGAAGTTTCATAAGATGAAAAATAAGATGAAGATGAGATTGAAGAAAAAAATTAAAGAAATATTATAAGTTCATTGGTGGTACGTATAAACTAATTGTTAATTGAAAAATAAACTCCTAACTGATAAATTTTTAATTTATAAGTTTTAGGTTAATAAATTAGTTAATTGAATAAAAAATATTTAGCAAAATTAATTGATAAACTAGTTAAAAAAATATAAATTGGCATAGTATATAAATAAAATTTTTTATTATATAAATAACATGCGTTTTCTCTAAAAAAATTATTATATAACTATAATTTAAATTTTTTTAAATAATTTTAGTATTTTTATTTATTTTATAAAAATGAATATAATATATTTAAATAAATTATTTATTTAAATAAGTTAATTTAATAAATATTCATTAATTTAATTTTTATTTATTTTCGATTTTTTCTTTCAATTTAAACTACTTTAATATTGAATTTATTTTGTATAAATGTGTGCTTTTTATATAGGATCATTTGATGAAATGTTAATTATTTTAATTTGTAATGTTAACATTTTTAATTTAAAACATATAAACAATAAAAAGTAATAAAAAATTTAAGTTTAATATAATAATTACAGTGACAATAAAACAATGTATTAATTTATTAAAAATATATTTTCTTTTTATTTTTCTCTTTTTCTTAGAAAATCAATTAGATAAATTTATTTTAAAAAATATTATTAAACAAATATATAGACAAAAAAAAAAGCCATTTTTGGAGGAAAAAACTTATACATATAATTCTCGATTTTAACAAATTACTTTTTGCTACTATCATATTAAAAATTGAAAAAGTAGAAGAATAATGAATAAGTTTCTTATGATTATTTTAAGAATAATTCGACTCTTACATGTAACATAAATCCTTAACCTATATATAAGTTTGATATTATTGAAGCTTTTCTAAAAAAAAAAGTTGCATTATCTTTAGAGGTTAACCTAGAGTATTTTTTTTTTCACCATTAAGTTCTCTGAGGCAATTCAATATACCATCAAAACTTTAACAATTACGATGCATCTTCTAATAACTTGGATAAAAATAGTGACAAAAGAGAAAAACCCTGGTTAGAAGTAGCTTATGATATAGTAAGCACAAGTGGTAGCATTATTACAATGATAAAGGATGTGTTTGATTCAAGGTTGAAAGCTTTATATTGAATATTTCTTAAGAGAATTTGATTAAATTGTAAAAGAATTAATGGAGATTCCAAGTTTTTTTTTCAAAAAAATAAAAATAAAAAATTTAAGAACAAATAAATGCCATTATATTAAATAGGAATAAATGATTTATAACGTTAACTATGTTTTTTTTTTATTTTGGTTTTTGTCTCTATCTCAAAATTTGATTTTTTTTATGGATAATGTTAGTTGTTAGTATTTTATTAACAGGGAGAATTAAATGCACAACCTCTATCACCCTTCTTTTCAAACTCTTTAAATCAATCTTATAACTCAAATTGTTAGCGGGAGAGTTTAATCTCTTCCACCCTCTCTTCCACCCTCCCTTCCAACTTTATCACTAAATCGTTTTATCACTTTGACATTTTAAAACATTGATAGAAAGGAAACTTGTAGACTGCATCCAAAATGATTTTTCGTTTGTCATGTCAAAAACCAGTTAATGCCATTGGACGAAAATGATTACATTCATGCATTAAGTATAGAGACCTAACATGGTCAAATTTTGAGATAAGAATAAAATCTGAAATCATATAATAATTTAAGAACTAAAATTGGTTTCAGTGGTGCATGTTATTAATCTTAGTCCTCCAATTGGTTTGAATATTGAGGTGTTAGACAAAAGTTGGTTTGATAAGAATGTTGGCTATGATCACCACGTGTCTTTGGTTGCAGGGCATTTGTTTATGTTCCAAAGGATGAAAGATTCAAGTTAAACGCAAAGACAAGGCAATGTATCTTCATTGATTATGGTCATGATAAATTTAGCTACATGTTGTATGATCTTAAAGAAAGGAAGTAAGAAGTCATGATGTGCATTTCATGAAAGATCAAACCATTAAAGACATCAACAAGGTGTAGAAGGCTACACCTGAGAAGGATTATAAGCTCGCTGACAGTAATCCAATGCGATTATCAGTTCACAATCTAGATAATATTGTGACTAAAAAGTTCAAGATGATGAGAAATATGTTGATGTTAATGATCAACAAGTTGAAAATAGAGTAGAGGTTTCGATTGTTGATGCTCAATGGGGGTATGAAAATGATCTTGGTGATATACTTGAATTACCACAAGTCCCTACCTGAAGGTTCGAGAGGTTGAGAAAACCATCTTTCGGGTATCCTTCAAATGAGTAGTAACTTTGACTGATGGTGGAAAACCTGAATGTTTTGAAGAAGCTTTGGATATTGAAGAAAAAACAATAGTTGTTGAATGCAACGCAAGATAAGATGAAATCTTTGCATGATAGTCACACTTATAACTTAGTAAAATTGCTTAAGGGAAAAAAGGCTTTGGAAACCAGGTGGATTTCCAAGATTCAAATTCTACATTTCCAAGATACAAGGCCAAATTAGTGGTGAAAGGCTTTAGACAGAAAAAAGGTGTTGATTTTAATGAGATATTCTCACTGTGGTGAAAATGTCATCCATCATAATTGTGCTAAAGTTGTGAGTACTCCTCTTGCTAAAGTTGTGTTGTAGAGATTCCAAATGGAAAATGTTAAAGTTGTGAGTACTCCTCTTGCTACTCATTTTAATCTAAGTGTTAAATATAGTCATTCAAATGAAGCTAAGAAGACATATATGACCAGAGTTCCTTATGCATCTGCGATGGATAGTTTGATATATGCAATGGTATGTACAAGACCTGATATTGCACATGTTGTTATATAGTCAATCGTTTTTTGTCAAATTCATGTAAAGAACATTGGAATGATATGAAGTGTATTTTGAGGTATCTTTGTGGTACTATTGGTTTGAAGCTTTGTTTTGAAGGTGATAAACTTACTTTGATGTGTTACATCGACTCACATATGACTGGAGACATTGATTCCAAGAGGTCCACTTTGGGTTACTTGATTAAGTATTCAAGGGGAATTATGGCTAGGCAATCAAGATTGTAGAGGTGTATAACATTGTCTACTGTAAAGGCAAAGTTCATTGCTATATTAAAGCATGCAAGGAGTTGCTATGATTGAGGAAATTATTGTATGATCTTGGTTTTGTGTAGGATAATTATCCGTTGTTTCTTAATAGTCAAAGTGTTATCCATCTTTGTAAGAATTCAACTTTCCATTCTAGATCCAAACATATTAATGTGATGTATCATTAGATACGTGATGTTTTAGATGCTAAGTTGTTGGAACTGCAAAAGGTTCGTACAGATGAGAATGGTGTTGATATGATGACTAAGGATTTTCTGAGACAAAAGTTTAAGACTGGTTGTGAGATCATCAGATTGATAGTCACCTCCGCATAGTTGTGAGGTGGGAGATGTGTTGGGTTTGGACTCCCAAATATGCCAAAAAGTCCAACATTGTGGTCAACACATCTTTGACTCACTCAAATTAAGTGAGGAGGCTCCGAAGTCATATTAGAGAGGGTATATGTTTATACATAGAGAGCAAAAATTCAGCTTGGAGAGAAAAAAAGAGAAAAAACAATTATGTAAAATTTTTCACTCTATAGTCTCGATAAAATGATAATAGCTTCATTCACTATTGGATTGAGCCGAAACTTTGCTAGGTTCGCAACACATGGTTCTACTTTTGAATTGAGGAATTTTTCACACTAAAAACTTTGGTGTCTTTAATATATGGCTTTGTGATTTTTAATACGTGACTTTTGATTATTTATTATTGTTATTCATTTGTTACATGTTAAAAAAATTTCTCATATATTCTAACAAGTTAAGAGAATTTTATCTGATATATTGATTATATTATATTATTTTCCCATTAACAATAAACCCTAATAATATACACATTAATATGAAAATAAAATTCAGAATCGTCACTAAGATCTTATAAGATGGTACATACATATTTGCTTTTACAGTAGTGTTATTATCTTAATTATTATTCTTCATTATTCTCAAAAAAAAACTTACCATTTAGATGTGATATACTCAATATTTTTAATTCAGAAAAGAGAAGTTGTCTCTATTTACAATCTCTCACAATCCTGTTTACTAGGTTATATAAACCACTAAGATTGCCATTAATATCTTCTGACCAGGTGTCCATAATTCAGAATTAACTACATTCAATAAGTGGAATGAAGTTTACAACAACCTAAAAGAAAACATCCAACAGTGATCTTTGTTTATTAATTTTTGTTATAAAATATATGACTTTGAATTGTTTGGAGAATGATTGAATTGGATAAGAATTTGTAGCATGGGTGGCATGGGAAAGTTGCTTGTGCATTCCATGATTCGGATTGTGTTGCTGTCCAATTTAATGCCTTTTATTTGTATGGAGAAGTGATGAAAAATGCTAAGAAAGATGACCTAGTTTTCTTCAAGAGGACCCCTCATTATTCATGCTATGATATGCAAAGATTCTTTTGCTAAGTGTCGGTTCGGAATTCCGATAACAAAGCATAGACCCCCACAATCATAAG